TCTCTGCTGGAAGTCCCTATCTACTCTTGGAGCCAGAATTGCCCTGTGTAAGGCTGAAGATAGGGTGGGAAGCCTTCCTTTGCCTGCTCTCCTCCTGCTTCTGAGATGCCTGTAGCAGACTGGCAGCGAAGTGGAGGTGGCAGGCCCTGCTGCGGCTGGGTGGTGGGGAGAGAGGTGCGGTAATGAATGTGGACGGGAGGCAGAATGAGCGATCCATCTTTGCATGGGTGGGGAGGGGGCTGTGGGCGTCCCACACACACTCACACACTCAATCAGGTGCTGTCAGACCTCCGGCCGCCTGGCATTTTGGTGAAGAATCTCTCAGCTAAAAATTGTTGTCAGTCCCATTTCCTCGTTATCAGTGCAAGGGCTGAGGCAGCGCCCGGGGATTAGCAGGAGCGAGAGCGCCCCGCTCTCATCCACTGCCGATAACACTGGGCCTCCCGCCTCACCTCCCCCATTCATCATCTTTAGCGCTGACAGCCCGCGGTCCCTGTCCCCATCCCCTCCCACTTCTACTGCTCCCTACAATGCTGCTCAGCCTGGCTCCTGACCTCCCCAGGGAGCCAGTTCTCCTGGACAGGGACAGGATTCCACCCAGGCCTTGTCACCTAGACCCAACTGTGGCAAAAGGCCTTGCCTAGCCCTTGGGGAGCTCAGCAAGAAAAGGAGTGGGACCACTCTTGGGAAGATGACGCTTCCTGACAGCCTGCCTTGCCAGGCTCCTACCCCTACCTGTGACCTAAGCCTACCTGTGACACTGCTACTGGAGAAGGGGTTTCTACATCAGATGAACAACTGGACCAAGGATTTCTGGGGGCCTCACCAGCCTGAGCTGGTTCCCAAATTCTGGGAATTGTGCAAAGGAAGAGCCAGGGGATACTTCCTGCCGAGCCAGGGAAGAGTAGGGGGTTGAGGGTTTCATTCCCACCCCAGCAAGACCATAACCCCTCCTCTTGGCCATCCCCAGTGGTTTTATGGCCCATTTTATGGCCACTGTAATGGCCCAGGTCAAAAGCTTCAGGGAGCTGTATTCTGGGAATTATGCAAACGAGGAGCAGGCCCAGGGCCAGAGTATGGATTTTATCATTAAACCTGGGCAGGCCATGTCGTTAGTGCAGTAAAATCCACGTCATGACCACAGGTCTCAATATAAAATTATAGGGAACATGGCAAGGGAGGGAAAGCAGGGGCCATAGCTGTGCTGTCATCTGCCACTCTAACCCTGAGAAGACGGAGGTGGCATGGAAGGAATAGGCTCTGGGACCCCTCTGCCAAACCCTGGTAATGCTATTCCAGAACATGGAGCCCATGAAAAGGGCCCATTGTCTTGATAGAGAAGCTGAGTCCAAGCTCAGAAAAACAATAATCCCATGGCAGCAAAAGAAATGAAATGAAAATAAGTATACAGGAATGCTAATGCATGGGCCACAGGCTTGGAGAAAGGAATCTAGACTCCAGGGACCCCAAGGACCAGACTTAGTGTCCCAGATCAAAGCTCCTAATGTTTTCACCTGAGCTTGGACCCCATATCCTGGATCCTCCTTGCTCTATCCCCATCTGTCCCTGTCCCAGTGACCTGTCCCAGCAACCTGAGAGCTCGGTTGTGCATCCTCGCTCCTCCTGCCTCCCATTGAACAGTCCCCCCCACACCTGGATTTTACCCACCCTTTGTCGGCCACCCCCGCCTTCCCACAGTCTTCCTCACTGCTCTTGCCTCCTTTACAGCTCTGACCTACTGACTGGAGTCTCTGGCTTCCTTTTTTAGTTTTCCCACAATTTGTGACCCTCCTAGAGGCCAGGAAAGTGTTTCTACTTATCTTTGAGATCTGGTTTTCCCTAGAATAATACCTGACATATGATTGTTTTAGAAATATTTGCTGAATGAATGAATGAATGAATGAATGAATGAATGAATAAATAAAGACATCAGATCAAGAACCAAGTTCAGGAGTTCCTGTCTAGTTCAGAGCCTCAATTTTTCCATCTGTAGAATATGGGTAATGGCCTGGAAAAATCCTAGAATTTCATTCTCCTCTGGGATGAAATGGGGGGCAAAGCTGAAACTGGAATCCTCTCTTCCACCTCCCAGAGGCCACATCCACTTCTTCTACTCAAAGCTGATTCCAGCTCTTCCTTGAATATCTGAGGCACAGTCACCAAGGCACAGGTCACAACTTACTCCCCTCTTGGGAGACCTAGTCACACAGGCTGGGGTTTTTGGTTTTTTTAAAACTGCTGCTCTTTGCCCACCTTCCTCTCTCTCTTCCTCTTTCCTCTCTTTTGCTTCAATACTGAACATCTAGCCTATGCCAGGCTTGCAATAAATTCTCTATAAATATACAGATGGGTAAGAAAAGATCCCTCCCCACAAGGAACTCACAGCGTATTCATTAACTCATTCACTTGCTCCCATTCCCTGCCTAGGACAGATCTAAGATGCAACTTAAATTTCACTCCTTTGACTAAGCCTCCTCTTTTTACCATGACCTCCTGCAAAAAACAAAAACAAACAAACAGAAAAAGAATGAATTTATCCTTCGAGTCCTCCAGTGACTCAATCTGAGGATGTAGGGAAGCCGTAATCCTGCTCTGTCTGTGTCAAAGAGAGGTGAGCTCTTGTGCTCAGCCTGAGCTGGGAGATTCTTTGGGTAGAGGACTGCCAGATTTAAAAAATGACAATATAAGATATCCAGTGAAATTTTTACTTTAGAAAAACAAGGAGTAATTTTGTATAAATATGTCTCTGCAGTATTTAGGACATTTGTATACTAAAAACATGCATGCTTATCTGAAAGCAAATTTCCCTAGGTACCCTGTATTTAATCTGGCGTCCCTACTCAAGTAATCATCTTGGCCATCACTGGCATTAGCTTCATCTCTGTGCACACTGACTTTGACTCTCCGGGCACCGAGGAGAAGAAAAAGCAAGGAGTATCTGGTCTCAAGCTGACCTTCTCCAGTCAGAGCATTCAGGGATAGCTAGGACGTGTGTAGATTAGTAGGACCTCTTCAACCCATGCCTGCAGGCAGAGGTGAGTGAAGTACTGCACAAGAGAAGGGAAGGGGTTTAGGCATCCAACAGGATAAACTAGGCAACCAGTTCACTCCTACTTAGCATGGCATGGCTTATTCTGTTATCATCAGAGATGGCAGAAAGAGAGTTCAGGCACCCATCTGACCTCTAGTGTGCACACATATTAGAGGTACACAGTTGGAAGGGTAGCATGGAAGGAGAGAACTTAGAACTGATTCTCACAAGGAGTCAGTGAGATCATCCAAGGGAGACTTCAATGGGGAAAATATATATTCGAGGGATGTCAAAGAAGCAGAATGGGCACAGCTCAGTAGTTGAGTGAATGAATTCATGGGAATAAGGCAGGGAGGGGAACAGACATGCGGTGAGCCTGAAGTTACTGGTCTAGGTGACTGGGTGAAAAAAGGTATTAACAGAGATGTTCCACTAAAAGAGGAGCAGGTATGGAAGAGTTGGAAAAGTTGAAGACAATTTTGAATTGTTAGGTTTCAGACTCTTATAAGAAATTCAGTCCAGCAAGATAGCTCAGCAGTCTAAAACATCTGCTTAGGCAAGCTTAGGCAGGTGCAGGGGACCACAGTTTGATCCCCAGCTCCACATGCCTCAGGGCTAGCTGAGCCAGCCCCCAAAAAAGAGAGAGAGAGAGAGAGAGAGAGAGAGAGAGAGAGAGAGAGAGA